TAGCATTGCCGAAGAAAAGTGTTCCTTAAATGACCTATGGTGGGTTTTTAATTGATCATGATATTTTGGAAAAAATATCTTCAACCTTTGTATTGATCATAATATTTTGATAGAAAATATCTTCAACCTTTTGTGTATTAAAGATGGTCCAGACCCACTTTCTGTAGAGGAATATAAGCATAAATAATTCCAGAAAATGAGCAAATAATATTTCTTCCACTTGCATCTTTACTTCTCTATTTAATTTACTTTTTGCGTTGTTTGTTTTGCATTGGAAGATAAACAGATTGAATTTGAAAAATCCATAGAGAACGTACAGTTTGAAGTCTAAATTGCTATAGAATACAGAGGTTGGGTGCGTTATATTAAAACGATTTTGAAACCTCACCACGTCGTTACAGTCCATGTAGCCACGTCCTGTCATGCTCCATTTGACAAGCATGCATATTAAAAATATCTCTGTAGCATAGTTTTATTGCAAAATACTTCAAAGTAAGCCTGTCATATCCAACCTACACCATTCCTCATTGCTTTCTTTCCACAATGCAACTAGTATACGAGGATGATGATTCAACAATCCAATTCAATAGAAATCTAGAAGTATTGCATCTGGCGACTTGACTGGTATGTCTTCATTTGCAATAGCATGAATATCTGTTTCATTTTCCAGTGTCATGATGTATGCAACCATTGACTGGGAGATATGACTGGAAATCTAATCTTGGTGCGCCCATAACCTGTTGAAACCGTTCAGATGGAAATCTTTCTTGACTATAATGCATACTGCTACCTGGAACACGTGAACGACTTTTGTCACTGACCTTTGTGTTCGTGGATTTTTACTTGTTACCACTGTTTGTTGTATGTCTCTTTCTGGATGGTCATATTTCTCCAAGTTGATCCATATTCCTTTGTTTTCCAATACTGTTAAGTACAAGAGTATTCTTGTTTGAAAATTCTTCTTGGAATGTATTCATATGGAATAGCATTAATACTCGTCTCACTTTCAAGCGCCTTGAGGTATGCAATCACTGAATGGGAGATATGACTAGAAGTCTAACCTTGATAAACCCATACCCTGTTGAAACCGATTACAGATGGAGATCCTTCTTGACTATAATGCATACTGTTACCTAGAACACGTGGATAACTTTTGCCACTGACCTTCGTGTTCATGGATTCGTACCTGTTATAAGACACAGTACTTTGCTTACCACTATTTGTTTTAGGTCTTTTTCAGGATGATCTTATTACTCCAAATTGGTCCGTATTCCTTTGTTTTCTAATACTGTTAAGTACAAGAGATATTCTGGTCTTGTACATTCTAAATCCGCGATCTGATCACATCTTTATGATCTGAGTTTATAAATATTTGGCACGAAAAGGCTTGTTACACACCCTACCTAAAACCGGTCAATCTTCGGTGACATCACATTAACTATGTAATGCCAAACAATGTTAAAATGAGTTTGCATACATCTCATTCCATTGCGATTTTATATAGGCTACAGTTATCACGTGGTTTGCTGATTTGGGTATTAAAAATTGTTTTAATATAATGCACTGAACCCTATGTATGTAAACAAGTTTTAAAAACATGAACGAAGAAGCCAAAGAACTATACAGAAAAATGATAAGCAACAATATAGTTGCGTCAGTGAGGTCACGTGACTAGTATCACGCCATCTGTTTCTAGAAATATCCTGTTTCTTCAAGAATGCCCTAGCATTTACTAGATATGTGTTAGTCTTGTATATATAAGGCGTTCACAACGTGACGGGACAACAGAGGTAACGAGTAATTGAACTGCAGTCAGAGAATGTGTAATTGAACTGAGTATTGTCGAGCACGGCCACGTGAGACGTGAATTATAGTGTTTGTTATACAGCGAATGTTGAAATTAAGTGTATCGTAAAGTTGTATTCGGAAAGAATAAACCAGTTTTATTTAAGAAATGACTTGTGTCGCTGAAGTTTCGTCGGAACGAATTTACGGAAAATTAATTAACAAACGGAGACGTAACAATATGGAAGGAGCCATCAGAAATTTACACAGATTATAACAATAAAGTCAATGAAATACAAGGAACATAAACGGCAGGATAAAACATCTGGAAACTGAAATTAAATAATCCATATAAAAATGTATAGGTTGAAGTCCAAAATACTGTAGGATATGTGTAGAAAAGTTATAACAGCAAGGTCTAAGAAGCCATAGGAAATATAATTACAAAGACAAAACAAAACAAAACAAAAAACATCGGAAATGTAGAAAAGAATTATAACAAATCAAATACAAAAGAACATCAATGCCAGGATAAAAACACATAGAAATTGAATCGGCAAAGGCAGGAATCAAACGAATTATACCTTTCTTCACGTCTGCTCAAAAATTTCAACTCCATTTTTTAACTATGCAATATGGAACAAGAGAACCTATCAGGTCTACATCTGTTACTGCTGTTCCACCTACAACTGTAGGACTTCTCCAGCTGCAGTGCTACAAATATTCTATTTCGATGAAGAAATGGAAATTATCAACGTTTGTGTTTAAAAAAGCCCCCCCCCCCACCCCCTAATGACATAGTGATATGTCTGTTGACTTATGCTGCTAGGAACCGGTTTTCGATACCCATGGTGGGCATAGCACAGACAGTTGTGTAGCTTTCTGCTTAATAATAATCAACAACTGTTAAAAGAAGTTTATTTGTCAAGTTAGGACGTTTAGGCCTATGGATGGACGTTAGTTACGCTAAACTAGAATTTGGAGTAGAAAAAATATTTATGTCACAATTAAGCGGACTGGAATTTCTATTATTCTTTCTATTGCATAATTCAAAGGAACCCAGTTAACAACTAGAACTATTACAACAGTACGTTAAGGTCTAAAAGCGATTGGACGCAGGGTTCACGAAATTGCCACTTGAGGGAGATGCACGATGAATGTTATATTACGCCATGTAATAGGTCTTCACTTGGTAACATTCTTATTAAGTCAAAACTACAGCAACTTAAAATGACATCAGAAAACATGAACATACAAAAAAGATGATTGTTAGAATATTGTAGCATAGCAGGCTGTTAAGAAATTGGTTCGGCAGACTTGAAACCGTCATTTTCAGCTCAGATTTAAAATATTAATATCTAAAGGAATTAAATCATTCACAAAAGTAGCTAAGTTATCAACATGTACATCTCTCATTTGTAAGACAGAGGAAGAGATAACTTGATCATGATAGTATTACTATGACTATTAGAAAGAGTAATATATATTAATAACAAAACTTGATAATTACTAATATAAATCACTTTAAATGTACAACTGGACAAAAATCTTCAGTTTTGAATAAAACAAATACATTCTAGCGTTTAGCATCAGCCAGTGCGGCTCTAAAATAGTCCTTCATAGAAGCAATCTCTTAACGTATTTCACAAAATTTCATCATTGCTGTTTAAAAACAAATTGAATATCAAATTACTTTGTTTCTAAAGGATTCATATATATTTGGATAATCTAGATTTCTTGTTATGTGTAGTATATTTTTATTACCAATGTCAATAATAATTTCCTGTTTGTCTCTCATTATTTTAATATGTGGGGTCTTATTCAGTCATGCTTATGCAACAAAACCTTAGCTAATGAAATATTTCTAAATAAATCTCTACACATAAGAAAAATAATGAAAACTGGAAAATGTAGTTAAATATATTAGGTGTTTTTAAATATTTGACTTTTTTTTCTGAAATTCTACTGCATACAGATAATGTATAATTAATTAGGGTAACTATATACCAAATCCACAGTAAGTAGTCTGAAAGTAGGAACACAAGTCTATATTGTTGTAACATAAAATCTTTATTGTATAAATATGCATATCTACACTAGTAGGACAGAACAATAAAAAATTACAATAGATGGCTTGATACAGGAGGAAGCTGTATAGATGCCATGATTTGCAACTGTCTTTCACATAAATCACTGTCATTTATGGTGCATCAAAAACGTTTCTAATCTTATATTCATTTTGCACCAAAGTATCTCAAAATTAGTAACAACAAAAAAGAGAAACATTTGCAGAAAATAAAAAGAAATTACAAATTATAGTATTATATAACCCTTTCAGCAGTAAACTGTAATGTTACTAAATAATTTTTCAAATCATAACAAAACATTTTAAAAATGATTAAAAAAGAATGCCAAAGCTGTACAAACTGGTCTAGTAAAACAGAAAAACTTATTCTATGCAGGAACATCTTGTTTCGTTTTTATGGATTGAAGCAGATATAAAGTGTGAAAAACAAGTGTATGGACATTAAGAAAGATATATAGAATAAGGAAATTAAGAACAAGGTGAATCTATACAGATTTTCCTACACTATATACATTGTCTGGCAAGACAGAATGCAAAAAAACTTGCCACAACAAAATTTATTTTCCCACCCCGTCTGTTAATTCATAATCACCACAAATTAAATGTGAGCATTAGCATATTACACAAACAAACAGGACAGCACTAACATTGCAAAACTACATTAAGCAGCCAAGTCACCTGGCATAGCACCTTTTGGTTCATGCCACCTTAAGGATAAAATAATTACTTAAATTGGGAACAACTTAATTTTTGATACTTATTTATGTAAATGGACAACTGGAAGTGATGAACAATGGTGCTCTTGAAGGATTCTTTGGCCTAGAATAAGTGGCAGTATGGTAGAGTCCAACTGACCAAATCAACAGAAGCAACAGAAAATGTGAATGATGTGATTATTCTGTAATGCTTACTTCCGATTGCATCAAACTTCTTGGTGGCTAACTTTAAAATACTAACAAACTGACTTACACAGATATACATTGAATAAATAGACTGCAAAAAACAGATACCACGATACATAATAGTATGATTATACATATGTATATATGCAAGTTTTATACATATACAAGTATACATACATTTTTGTATGCATGTATACATGCACAAATACATACGCATAATACCTAACACAACAGTTGTCTACAAGCTGCTAACAGCTACATCCACATTTACTCAACATGCACATCTTGTTGCACGAAAACCTCTTTTACTTTCTTTGCCCTTCCTGAACTTTGCATAATATTATGGTGGCATGTTTAATTGCCTTCCATTTCATAAATGCAAACATAACAATTAATAATCACTGAATTTTTTTGTTTGTTTATTTGTTCCTTCCCAAAGTTCTTTCACGTGCTGTACAGAAACATGAGGTAATGGAAAACGATGTTGTTCGAGTAATGACACAAGCTTTGACCGGTGTGGTTCAAAAGTGATTAATGAGTAGGAACTCACCAGTCTCATGTTTAATCTTCCTTACTCAGAACATGTTGAAAATTTATTTCATGTAAATATTGGTGATAAGTTTTAGCCCCCAAAACAAAACAAAAACACCTAATAGGGACTTGCATATATTTTTGCAATTACCCCTGTACAGTTCAGGTGAAACTGAGCATCTTTCCTAAGTTTCTCCTGCTTTCCTGTTTATAATAAAACAGCACATAGTTTTAAAAATTGTTTGACAGTAAAATTTAAGATTCAAAAAATGCCAAGATATCGTCATTTGTGCTATTTGAGGTGGATGTTGTAGCACTGCTGTTTGCTGCTGTTGTGCTAGTTGTACTTCCTGAGGTGGTACTCAAATTCCCACTGCTACTCAGCTCAGGTGGGTCCAGATAGGAGAGTAGCTCCATAGGATCCACTACACTTTCTGGAAGCAACTGTCAGAAGAAAAAAAAAGTCCAAAGCAATAAATAAATATATTTTAAGTAAACATTGTATTTATAACTTAAGAGCTACCCTCATTTAAAACCAAAACCATAAGATATTAAACAACAAAATAATACATAATATCTTGAATAGCTCAAACTGTAAGTTATGGTATTCTAAGTAAGTAGCTTGCTACTAACTGTTGATATTTACTTTATCAATTTTTTTTTTTATGCTTAACATGTAGATCAAGAAATCAGATTTCCATTTTGTTTGAAAATTACTGTGAAAGTTTTCCTTAGTTAATCTGAGATCATAGTTCTTTATTACTCCTTTTGATGATAGCTATATTTTAAAGAACAGATAAAAGTATACTATCTAGTGCTAAAGTTACATGGAGTATTCAGAAAACTCGCTTTTCTTGTAACAATTTCAAACAAAGAATATCATTATTTATTACTTATACAAAATAAATCAAATTTCCGATACTTTAAGTCCCTTTTTTCTCTCCATCTATCCTTATTTTATGGTTCATTTATAAACAGTTAACTTCTTATTCCTTATTTCTTTCACAGAAAAGTAATACAGGTGGTTGAGTATGTTATATCAAAACGATTTTGAATATGCAAAGCAGCAAGTCACATGTCAACCACAGCAGATATAAAGTCATAGTGGGATGGTGTTTATCAGAAATACATTTTGACATTGTTTGGTTTTGGGAAGGATAGGTAACACCCATTTCCAAAATAACATTTTCATACATTAAGGTTATAAAATGTGTTAAGATTTGGGATTAACAATTTCCAAGCTGGGGATATCTCTTGTACTTAATGGCATTAGAAAACAAAAACATATGGATCAACTTGGGGCACTAGGACCATCCAGAAACAAATCTGCAACAAGTTATATCCCAACCATGGTAAATAAAGTGTGGCATCTTGTAACTGATGAGAATCCAAGAAAAACAGGTCAGCAGCAAAAGCTGTCGATGTGTCCCAGGCAACAGTATGCAACACAATCAAGAAGGATTTCCATCTGGAAAAGCTACTCAAGTCATGTAGACTAGCTGCTTTCACAATACATCCATTCAACCATCACATACTCATATTCATATTATTCTTTATGAAGACATATAAGCCTAGTCTCTAGACACAGCACTTATGAATTTCTTTACAAATGGACTGTTGAAACAAGTGCTGGGAAACTGTTGTACTTGTACATTAGCTGGATTATGGAAACCTAGCAGTGAGAAAGACTGTGGTTTGGACATGACAGCCTTATAACAGAGTCTTTTGCAATAGAAACTACATTGCAAGGCTATTGTCAAGAGTGATGATGATCAGATAGAGCATGAGCAAACATGGTAACACGAACTGTAATGAAATGGTGAGGCTCCAAAATTGTTTGAATACAATGTACTCAACCTTTGTATAAAGGCTCCTAATAAGGTTTAAATATAATACCAACTCAAGTTTACTGTACTTACGTTAAGTCCTTCTTGACCTTGGCCTTCACCATCAATCACAGCAGCAGGGTCAAAGTTGAGGTCACTTAAATCAGCAGCATGAGAAAGTGAATTATCATTTGTCACTGATGGAGGTTGACTATTGGCTGGATTGGAATTACTGCTATTGCTATTGGTACCATTCACTTCAGCATTACTTCCATTAGGTCCAACAGATGAAGGAGGAGGAATACTTGGAGGACCTCCAGTACCAGGTGTATGAGGTGTATGTGGTGTATGAGGAGTGTTGGGCCCATGTTGCATCATGCCTTGGCTTTGTGTAGATGATGGTGTAGGTGGTGCATACTGTTGATGGTTCGTTGAATGCTGAGACTGATTGATTCCAGGGGCAGAGGAGTTTGCAGGATGGGGCATCTGTTGGCTACTCTGGTCATGCAGAGTAGGAGGGCACATTTGCTATAACAGAAATAAACATCAAACGTTTTTTTTATATACTTAGAATGTTTTATAACATGTTCTGTGTTGCACAAGACAGTAAGTAATTTTAATAAAGAAAGAATAGATAAAATCTGTCTTTTTTTTTTCCCTCCCATACTTTAAAAATATTCAGAAATATACCAAGTTTCATACAAATACATGTAATATTAACTGTGAATGTTTGTGAAACATTGAAACTTAGAGTACTGGGACACCACCAAGAACTTATGAGTAAACCTAATACAACTAAAAGTAGGTAGTGTATAGATTTGAATAAGTGAATTACTTATAATGTAACTTCCAAAAACCTTTGACATAGTAGAACTTAAATGTTTAGGTTGATTAGGAGCTGTATATGTTTGTTTGACATAATTGTGTGGAACTGTGGTTCACAATTCAAGTTAAACTATACATAAATTTTTAGTGAAAATGCATGCTGTCATAATCAGCATTACCTCTAACTTTTACTTGTACTGAGTGGGCTACAAAATTCAGTAAGCACTACTATTTTGTCCTTGGGAACATTATACTTCAGGAATCATCTTATACTTAACCAACTCACTGCTATGTTGCTACAGTTGTGCAAATGCAATGAAAAAAAGATATATTTCTATCTATACAGCATGCTGTATAGCACTTTAAAACTGAAAAGGTGACTACATGGTAGTGATACTGGTGTGACATTAAATATAGACAAATTAACTACATATTTTGCAGATAGTGTCAGAAGCACTAATTTATCAGTGCAAGGTTTTTTCACATTTAGTAAAGTGAGTGCAAAACAATACATATCTGTAAATTCTATGAAAAAAAATTTACTCTAAGCTAAAGATGTTTACAGAAAATAAATAAATGTGATCACTATTCTAAACAGCAACTGACACAGAAAATTGCAAGCTACATCTTGAGAAGTTGTAGGCAACATGGCCTGTGCCCTGTGTGGCACATACAATTTGCCGGTGAAACATTGTAGTTTAGAGGGGCCTTTTGGTCATAATATAATTAGGGAAATTTCACTGCATAACTAATGTTTTAATTCAAAGTAACTAGGTGAAGATTAAAACTCTTTTTTGTATACAAATAAATTTTAGTTGGTTGAGAGGCTAGAAAAGGTAAGACTTATTCCCCTCATCAAAAATGTAATTGGTCTCACCTATTTACTTAATCTACAATATTTCAACTCCTTGCAAAATAATATGCATGGGATTATCACAAACTGTTATACAACAAGTTCCACCAAAACTTTTACAAATTTAAAAGGCTATCTTACTAATATATACTTCAAGTTGTAAAAGTTCTTGTAATTAGTTCTGCATCTAAATCAGCACAGCTAAAATTTTGAGGCTATGACATTTTTTTGTGCACCTGAAAAATCACAAATAATCAAAAAGTAAAACATACTACCTCATATACAAAAGATCTTTTTAAAACTCCATAGTAGATAGGTAAACTGGGAAAAAATGTAGGTTCTAGGTTCATGATTTATTTCACTTAATATGATATATGCAAAATTGTAACTACAAGATGTACATATGTGCTCAACAGTTCGACAAACACCAAACAGTCAAGGGTCAGGAGGTGTAGTTAGTTAACAAAGACGAGGGAAACATTTGTATGTTTGATACATAAAAATACCTGTTCATGCTGGTTTAGAGACTTTTCCATTGCAGCAAGGGGGTCTAAAGAGGCAACACTCTCATTTAGATGAGCAAGTGGGCTCCCAAAGTCAGAAGAAAAGTCGTAACTTCCATTCATTCCTCTGTAACTCATACCATTTGGAAGATTGGGACCATTGGCTATAGCTGATAATGAAAGAAGCAAAAAATAATCCATCTTGAGCTTGTTTGAATTCACTATGAAAAATATACACTTTTATTTTATTTTAAACAATAAAATAAGCAAATTTCAATTAGTATTTTTTTTAGTAAACTACACACATAATGAGACAGATACTTGACAGTATAGAGAAATAAGAACAGGAATTTAACTCTTTCAACCCAGGCTCAGTCCCTGGGACCAACCTCGTAAACATTTTGTGTTTGTTATAGTTTTCATGCTATAACTTTTAAATTAGTAAGTGATTGTTTACAAAATTTGGCAGGTTATCAGTAATCATTACAATGCTTTCATATGCATAATATCTAATTTTTTATTAAGTCTTTTAAAGCAATGTTTCTCTCATGCCTTTTTTTTCTTTTCACATCTTGCCTATCTATCTATCTATCATGCAAAGTAATTTTCATCTTAACATTAAAAATACTTTTATGCATCAGAAAATTTCGAAATTTCACATGAGAAATTTTCATAATGTCCAAATAGTTATCAAATGTTTCGTAAGAAAAAAACTTTATATTTTATCTATTATTTTCAGTAATTAATCTCTGTACAGGTTTGGTAAATTTGACTAATCTCGCAACCACCATAAAAAATTAGGAAATAAACATAAATTATGCATCTTTCATTCTAAAATGAATACAAATTATAACATGAAAACATAAATGTTTAGATGAAATAGCTTAAATCTCAAAGATTATACATTTATATATATTTATTATTTTTTTTATATTGATCTTTCACCCGTGCCTGGCTAACAATACAGAAGTTACAATGACACGGCTCATGTTCACTCATGTTACTGTATCAAATAATATAAAGGTGACCTTTGGTCTGTACAAACTAACCTGTCTTGGATGTGTTTTAGTCGAAAGTATTTTGTAAAATACAGTCACATTTCAATTATTATACATTATATGTGTATATAGATTATTGCTATTTTGAAATAAGTTCTTAAAGTTATTTTTCCTAAAACATAGAACAGTAAATAACGAAGTAAAGCAAATAATTATCTCTTCTAGTTACGACCTTTGTACTCGGTTGCTGCGTGACGTAGGTCGCTAAGCCTTTAAAAATTTTGCACGTGGAGGATATGAAACAAAATATTTTTTTTTAGGTTTTATATATACATTTCAGTAACTAAAAAAAATCAAAAATTACTACATCAATACTACAGAATTCAACTATAATTTATCAAGCTTAGTAACTAAGATGTATTTTACTCTAAAAAATGAAATTTCAAGCAGACTATAGACACAACCTACCTCATAGAAATCTTATTTAAAAGAAAGAAATAATGCTAGGTATGTTAGAAAGGCTTAGAAAACCACTAGGGGGACATTCTGAGCTTCTGATTCATTATTCATATCATATATAAAAGTAAGTGTTTATAAGGGAGAGTTTCTAAAAAATGGAAGGAGGTGAGATGATGCCACTACATTTGATTTATTATGTGAGCAATATCTTAGCAAATAGAAAAGATAAGAACTTCTTATCTTATATTCTAGCTTGTCAATATCTGTAATTTGAGTTTCTAATTCATAGAAAACTATAGACTTAGTATTTTGACTTCACAAACATCTAATTTGAACCAGTGCTGCATTCAATATACCACATGACACACAAAAATCGATGTTTATCTGTGTTTTTAATATTTACTTTTAAATTAACAAATTGGATATTGTATAATTCAATAATTTGTATTATAATCTAAAGTTTAATACCAAACTTACTGACATAAATTCATGAAATAGTATTTCAATAAAATTTTGAATGTGAGTCAACAAACAA